TTAGATTAAAGGTAGATTAAGTCAGTTTATGATATTACAATCAAGAGAGTCTGAGGCTGGGTGTGGTGGCTCATGCCTGTAATGAGGCTAAGACAGAGGATCATTTAAGCCCAAGAGTTCAAGATCAGCCTGGCTAACATAGTGGGACCCTGTCTCTAGGTATGGTGGCACACGCCTGTAGTCTCAACTACTCAGGAGGCTGAGGTGGGAGGATTGCTGGAGCTCAACAGTCGGAGGCTATAGTGAGTCATGATTGCACCACTGCACTCCAGCCCAAGTGACAGAGTGACACCCTGTCTAAAAGAGAGAGAGAGAGAGAGAGAGAGAGAGAGAGAGAGAGAGAGAGACAGGAGAGAGAGAGAGAGAGACAGGAGAGAGAGAGAGAGAGAGAGAGAGAGAGACAGGAGAGAGAGAAATGGTCAACGGAGATAGCATTGGATGATCTTGGTTAGGAATTCCAAGTGGCAATTGTTATACAAATTGAGCTTTATAATACCAGGTGGATAACTGGAATTGAGAGTGGAGACGGCCGATCTGAAGAGAAGTTTCAATCAAGAAATGGAATTACTTCTTTGTTTTGAGCTCTAGTCAGATTTCTAGAGTCTTAGATTGGAAATGAATCTTAGAGGTAATTTGTTCATTTTGTTCAACTTTTCACACAGGGTGGAAGGCCACTCTCTTGAATTCACACAGTCGACCCATCTGGCCTCTGATTATGTCAGTTGGTTTAATTCAGGCTCTACACAGGCCTAGGAAGATAAATGTTATTTTATGTTTTAAATTTCACATTTCTCCCCACAAATCTTTTTCCAAATATTTCAAGACAGTTGTTGCTCTTAGTACACTCTTGGGATTCCTCCTTCTCATATACTTCTGGGGCCATCCATAGATAATGAGGATATTTTTGCCAGCAGCATTCCAATTTGGACTCAGAAATACTCATCAAATTTGCTTTTGGTTTCCTGGTTGTCTGTTGATGAGTCATGCTTACAAACTGCCTCACTTCATATCTTTTCCAGTACATTGTAGTCCACTGAATGTTTGGCGCAAGGACATTTTTGAGGGTACAGAAAGACTCACTTCACACAGGCATGGCTTGAGTCAAAAGAGTCAGCCCTGCTGTTGGAAGCCCACACAGATTTTTGGTGGAGAGGAGAAAAAATAGCACCTATGATGGTATTGGTACCTAATAGGTGATCAACCTGTTTGGTGAACTGAGTGAATTACTTGTGATCAAGCCATACCTCTTTTATGTAGAAAGGGTTTGTTTGTACCATTTTCTCAAACTAGAAAGAAAGTAGCTTGGAAGTTTTTAACTGTATTTCCCTTCCCTACTTCAGAACAACAGCGAATGTACTGTCTAGGAAAAGTGCCATTTTGCAGCTAGTTTTAAAGTGTCACAGACCAGCTGGAATTGGAAGTTCTTGGAACTTTGGAGGTGTTGGGCTGTGTCAGACTGATAAATTATGTAAAACCTGTTTCCCTGAGTATTATTAATCATCCTCAAGCAAATGAAGACATGCTAATTAATTTGTGGTGGTTTTCACCTGCAAATGCCAAAGGAACTAAACCAAATTAAATCTTCTATTCTCTTCAAGACCAGCACCTTGTTAAATACCCTATGACTTCTCTAATTCAATTTGAAAGATGTGATTCTTTGGAAACTTAGTTTTCCTGTCGTTTCAAAATCTTAAAGGCCCTTTCTTGAATGTGTACCCCAAAGTTTTGCACATAGAGACTTGGAAAATGAATGGTGGGAAGTCATGATTTATAGAGGACCCAGTGTATACAAGATTCTGTATTAGATAGTTTATCCATGCTATCTCATGGGTAGGTATTACCAAAGCCGATAGGAAGTAGGAGTTATCATTCTAGTTGTCTTAAGAAAGAAACAGTCTCAGAGACTTCATATACATTTCCCAGGCCACATAGTTTATTAGTGTGGAGCTAAGATGCACATCCAGGTCTATTCAACCCCACAGTTCATGTTCTTTCCACATAATATGGAAATGTTTGCCTGGAAACAGGCAATGTTTACCATGCTCCTCTCAAGGAGCCAGTCTAGTGTGTGTGTGAAACCTCACCAGCTAGACACCAAAGTACCGTGTATTGTAGGCTTTGCACTGTATTTTAAGAATTAAAATTTCTTACTTAATTTCCTCCATTGGAGAAAAGTCTCAAAGAAAAGAATTGTAGAGTTTTCTAATGATTTTCACTAGAACAGTGTCATGCACAATACTACCCCATTCTTGTCCTTGACTGCATGTGTACTTTGCTATTTTTGGAAATGTACCAGGTCATTTCTCTTTGGTAACAATTAAAATATTATTGCTCAGATGAGAGATGCCTTTCCACTCATGGTTATGGATCTTCCATGTGAGCCATGTTTAATGTGCCTCTGAAAACAAATAGTCTCTGAACATCCAAGCAAGACTCTGGAGAGACTGAGAAAAAGTAGTAGACTCCGATGAACCACAGATGGGTTGCAAAGGATAGAGCTGGGTATCTTATATCCCTATCTAGATCAATGGTCTAGAGTCTCTTCTTTATCACTGTGACTGTAAAAATTAAATTCAAGGCTTATTTGTGGGACGTTCACTGCCATTACTAGCATTTTTCTTGGCAATTACTTGGCATTCCTGGAGAGGTAAGAATGCTGGCAAATGCTCCACAGGACTGTTTAGATGTCAGAGTGGAGTCCTCTAATGTATCTCCTGACAGCAAGCCCAGTCCAGGATGAATGTGCTTGGCCAATATCCATAGCTGGTCACACTCCAGGGAAGAACCCAGGAAGCAGGATTCTGGCCAAGGTGTCTCGGGTCTTTTTACGGGGATTTGGAGCTTCCTTTTCTTCATGCATGTTTGGCTAGTTACCAGCCCTCTTTCAAGGACTCAAAGGCACTAGAACTGTTAGAGGAAGAAGCCCTATGGAACACTTAGCTGAAGACAAAGATCATGTAAACTGATGGGCATTCAGTTCTTTTAGGAAGATGTCTAATTATGTCCACCTTTACTTATTTTGTTTATTTCATTCTCTCTAAGTTGTAGAAATACTTGTGGTCTCAATAAAGATTTGAGACTTGGGAGTCTCTCCCTCACTGTTTCAAGCAGCAGACATCCCTATTTTGTCAAAGAGGTAGTGAGGTGTACAAGAGCATGTACTTCTGAATCTTGTGTCTGTCACTAACTGTCATGTAGGGCAAGTCACATTCTCTCCAAGCCACATTTTTCTTTCTCACCTGCCTCACAAGTCTGTTCTGAATGAAAATTCAATGTGAATGGAATTAGCACAGAGTCTGGCTTATGGAAGATGCTCAAAATCATTTCATTTCTTTTTCTAATATGAAGACCATTGCTTTTTACTTTTGAAAGTCCTCAGAAACCTCCCTTATCCCATACAACATGCTGCACATACACACACAATATTTCTGTGGGTTTTCTTCAGGACAAACATTTCCATATTTGTGAGTGCTGGCAAGTTGCAATCAACATTAAGTTAAATTTTCCTCACATTTCTTCTCTTGCCCTGCCCTCCTCCATAGTATAGAGCAAGAGAAATATGAATTAGAATTGCATTGTGTATAGCTATTTCTTCCCTGACTCCTAGTAGAACCTCCCTTTGCGTGCCGACACACAGACACACACGCTTTCCATTCTGTTATTCCACGTCTTCCTTTTCAGGTGTCTCATTGTACATGTCTTCATTGTTAGAAATGCTTCTTCTGAATTTGGAAATAGTAAAAGTGTCCACTTGGATACAGCACAGTAATGTGCATATTAGGTGCGCTGTCAAACCCTTATGAAAAATGAGAAAAATGCTCCCACCTTTAGGGGCAGGTCAAATGAGAAAGTGCGAGAGCTGTTGGGGGAGGAGCTGCTTTCCTCAGAAAGAAAGAAGGGAAACTATTTTCCTTGAGACTGAGTTGAGTATGTCAATTGTCTCAGAAAGAAAATCAAAGCAAATCCCTCTGTTCCACTGCCCTTCACAGGGAAAACGTGCTGAATTGGTCCTCTCTATGTAAGGGCCTTCCAAAGGTTTATATCCTTGATGAAATAATCTCTTCAGGAGTCATTTCTAAATTTTATGACCTTGTTTACTCTTTTTTACTGGCAATTTCAACACTAGTTCTACCCTCTGCTAGCTGTAAAGTGTCTGGTAAAGCCAGCTAAATTTATGGTGGCTTAGTGTGGTGCTTACCCAACAATATGGGTGTGGTAGCCTGCAGGAAGGCCCCAAAGACTCCTGCCTCATGATATGCACATACTTGAGTAGTTCTCTTCCACAAGGTGCTGTGGTTTGTGTAACCAACAGAATATGGGAGAAGTGATGGGATGTCATTTTTAAGATTATACAAAGATTCTGCAGATTCTGTTTTGACCACATCTCTCTTGGATCAGTTGCTCTAAGGGAAGCCTGCTGCCATGTCTTGAGGACACTCCAACAGCTCTGTGGAGAAGCCCACGTGGTGAGAAACTGAGGCTTTCAGGCAACAGCCATGTGAATGTGCCTTCATGGAAGTCGGTCTTCCAGCCCAATCAGGTCTTCAGATGACTGCAGCCCCAGCTGACAGTTTGTCTCCTTCTTTATTTTTTATTTTTATTTATTTTTTTTTTTGCATTTTAGCTGTGAATTTATTTTTTTTTATTTTTTTAAATTTTTTTATTGGATTATAGGTTTTGGGGTACATGAGCAGAGCATGCAAGACAGTTGGTTAGGTACACACATGGCAGTGTGCTTTGCTTTTCTTCTCCCCTTCACCCACATTTGGCATTTCTCCCCAGGCTATCCCTCCCCACCTCCCCCTCCCACTATATATATATATTTTTTTATTTTTTATTTTTGAGACGGAGTTTCGCTCTTGTTACCCAGGCTGGAGTGCAATGGCGCAATCTCGGCTCACCGCAACCTCCACCTCCCGGGTTCAAGCAGTTCTCCTGCCTCAGCCTTTCAAGTAGCTGGGATTACAAGTGCCTGACTAATTGTTTTGTATTTTTAATAGAGACGGGATTTCATCATGTTGGGCAGGCTGGTCTAGCTGACAGTTTCACAGCAAACTAATGAGAGATCCTGAGCCAGAACCACCTGGGTAAGTCAATTCCAGATTCCCGACTCTCAGAAACAGTGATAAAATAAATGTTTATTGTTTGAAATCCTGTCAAAATCTGAGAAGGATCTGAGATATACCCTCCTCGAAAGCTAACAAATTTTTGTTTTCTGTTCAAAACAATTTTATGAGTATCAATAGAAGTATGACTCTTGAGTCAGAGATAAAAGACTTGTGTTATTTACAGCACAGCAGTCAGCATAAGCTCATGTCCGCATTCGTTTCTCTTGCCCCCTAAACCCTAAAAGGGTGATGTGGGGGTGGGCACAGGTGGATGCTGCACACTCAGTGGGTTTGCCTCACAACTGAAGATCTTCGTCTTAGGAAATTCCAATCTTTTATAAAAGTACTTCAAGAAAATCTGCTCAAACACTGTCCCGGCAGGAGACATTAACTTTGTTATACTGGATGGCAAACCAATCTGGCCTCTGTCCCAAAAGGATATACTATCTGTAACTTCCAACATTGTTTGCTGTGTAAATACTCTGAAAAGAGTCTGGACCAAAAACTGTCACAGTCTCTGCTCACAACACACGCAAGGTGCCCAATGGAGACTTGTCTGCTGGCAGCCACCAAGTTTTGGAATAGTTTTCTGTGCAGCAAGAGATAAGTAATCCAGTGGGATGCCTGTGCCTAGGCCTCACCTGTCAAAGTCACTGTACTAAGGGCCTGTGTAATAGAGTTGTATCTGTTGACAGAGCATGAGTACAGGGGTTTTAAACATGAGGAGTAAGTGAAGGGACAAGTAGGTCCTCTGGTTTTAGAGGGGGATAAAGAGGGAGAAAGGGAAAAAGCAACAGACGGAAGGGGCCAAAAGTGGAATTTATTAGAATTGAGAAGTGTAGCTTTCTCTTGTAGTAAAGATTTGTACCTTGAAAATAGATTTGTAAAATGAAGGAATTCACTACTTAGTAAACACCTCTTCTCGTCTTCACCAGCAAGTCGTCTTTTGACAGTGTGGGGGTGTTGCTACTGGATATTTTTCACACTTTTTTGGTCCCTAGTGAAGGAAAATGAGGTACAGTTAATTTTGAGCCAATCCGTAGAGAACCCAACTTTGAGGATTCTATTTGAAAGACACACGAAAGACAGTACTTAAAAGATGATTTTTGTTTATTCTGCGAAAATGAGGAATCAAAGACATCTTGGGTTTTCTGCTATCAGGCAAATATCTTCTATTCTCCTCGTGAAATCAATTGAGGGAGTAAAGAATTAAGAGTGATTTTAATTTGAAATAGTACTTGGTCTTATGTTTCATTTGATTTTAGCAATATTCAAACAGGCTTCATGAACTCATTTTTAGACACCCAGAACAAGTATAATTGACAGTTAAAAAATAAAACCGAAAGTGTGAATGAGCTTCCAATAGCCCATAAGAAAAAGAGGACCTAACATAAATGATAGAGGACATGACTTCAGGCTTCACTCACCTGGCATCTGTTGATAGGGCAGGGCTCAGGGATACTTTGTTAGTTTTCCAATATGTAATACCACAGCTGGTTACTGACATTTGCAGGAGCATCTCTCAATAATGGCACCCAGGGCAAGTTATAGCCTTGATTATAGCGTGGGGAATTTAAAAGCAGGCTAAATGTTGGCTCTTTAATTTCTCTCTTAGTTTCTTCATTTCTTAAACGGGAATACATATCTCAATGCTATTGTGAGGTTTAAATGTGCGAGAGTAGATAAAGAGTGTAGCACTGTGCTTAGGTTATAATAAATGCTTGCTAAATTAAAGCTTTCATTATTATTATTTTTATTATTTTGAGACAGGGTCTTGCTCTGTCATCCAGGCTGCAGTGCAGTGGCACAACCATAGATCACTGCAAAAGGCTTGTACTGTTAATCCTCAAAGATACTAGGCATGCTATTCCTTGGGATACATTATGTCGCTTCAAATGCAGTAGAGTTCCATTAGATGACATCGGGCTCTACCATCTTCTGTTTGATTGTATTACAGGTCAATTTGTAGTTCTTATTTATACAATATTAGCTATGTGCCTCTTTCCTGATGTGTGGAAAAGTCTCTCAATAAATGCTGGCTCTTGGTCTTGTCATTTGATATAGCAAAATAATAAATAGCACCCAATGATCAAACTGAGCAAAACCTGGTTATTTTAAAAACATATTGATTTCAGCTTTTTCTTAAGCAGAAAGGCTGTTTATGGAAAGTTTCCCTAGAGGTTGAATTTCTAACGGGTTGAAACTATTTTGTGTTTGAAAACCGCAAACCTGGTCTAAGAGGAGGCCAGGACTATGGGTTGCCTGCCGGTGTGACTACAGGTGTTGTGCCCACACTTTTTGCCCTTCTGGAAGGATCTTTTTATGGGGCCCCTGGTGGTGTAGTCAGCAGGCATTATCACGTGTGGCATTCCCAGGGGTTGTCACAGACCAGAGAAAATCTCCTTGAGGTACAGACAATAAAAAGGTCTTTCCTGTCTAAGGGGCGTCACAGTGTGCTTGAGAAAGGACTGAAGGTATGGCGGGTGCTACCAGAGCCCAGCCACATTTCCTGGGCACCCCCCATTCCTGTGCCTGCCTATCCTATAGCTTCTCTCTGCAACGACCTGTGACTCTTTGCTTAGGGCTTTCTCTGGCCACGGAAGATCTCTCAGCCCAAGTGCAGGGCAGGTTGGAAATAAGGGGAAGTACAGCCCTTGGGACTGAGGGTCTTAAAGGGTAAACACAAAGCGCCCTTGCTCTTTGGGTGGAAAAATTCCAAGGTGTGTTCTACACTGCCTTCCTGTGTTCCCCCATGTGACTGGGCCCCCGTTAGCCCATAGTGATACCATGCTTCATAATGTTCTCTTGACTGGCTTCTTTCCCTTTCCTCTTCTAGTTCTCTACTTCCTTAAAGACACTCCTAAGGAAATCTCCCAAACAAACCACTCCAACTCATATCCTTGTCTCAGAGTCTGCTTTGGAGGAAGCCAATCTACAATAAAGGATATGCTCACATTGCCTCCCTCCTTCCATCAGCTCTGCAGGTTCCTCAGATTCCCTTCTCCATGTACCTGTCTCCTGTTCTTCATAGGAAGGAGGGAACAAAAAGGACTTGACGTTCTGGTCAACACTCTATAGGTGATTTTAAATCCTTCTGCTCATTTCAATTCTACGATATAGTGTTTCCGTCTTGCAAAGGAGAAAACTGAGTCCAGAGGACTGAATATCTTGATTGCGGTAATGCAGCGTGTAGATGGAAGGGACAGGTCTTGATCCCAGGTTTTCTGACTCTGTTCTAAAATATTCTCATCCAGTTTATTTCTGAAGGTGTGAACAGATCAGAGGAAGAATAAAGTTTATCTCCTTATTGTGTTATAAATTTTTAAGCGGCACTTAAATCACATCATGTTACTCCAAAGGTTTTGTATAACAAGTAGAATAAAATTCCAGCTCTATCCTATGGCCTACGCTGGCCTACATGATCTGTTTCCTGCTGAAATCTTTGATGTCACCTTCTAGCCCTTGCCCGCTGTCTCACTCTGTTCTGTGCATACACCACACTTATCCCTCTTTATGGTCAGTGTTTGTCCTTGCTGTTTCCCTGCCTGGAATGCTCTTCTTCAGGTCCTTTGCAGGCTACCTCCTTGTCATCATTCCATCATTCCAGTCTCAGTGCAAATGTGACTTCCTCGGAGGAAGTCCCTGATCATTTTTTTTTTTAATTGCATTTCAGGTTTTGGGGTACATGTGAAGAGCATGCAAGATTGTTGCGTAGGTACACATGTGGCAGCATGATTTGCTGCCTTCCTCCCCATCACCTATACCTGGCATTTCTCCCCATGCTATCTCTCCCCAACGCCCCACCCCCTGCTGTCCCGCCCCTATTTCCCCCCAACAGACCCCAGTGTGTAGTGCTCCCCTCCCTGTGTCCATGTGTTCTCATTGTTCAACACCTTTCTGTGGTGAGAACACGCGGTGTTTGATTTTCTGCTCTTGTGTCAGTTTGCTGAGAATGATGGTTTCCAGGTTCATCCATGTCCCTACAAAGGACACAAACTCATCATTTTTGATGGCTGCATAATATTCCATGGTGTATATGTGCCACATTTTCCCTGTCCAGTCTATCATCGATGGGCATTTGGGTTGGTTCCAGGTCTTTGCTATTGTAAACTGTGCTGCAATGAACATTCGTGTACATGTGTCCTTATAGTAGAATGATTTATAATCCTTTGGATATATACCCAGTAATGGGATTGCTGGGTCAAATGGAATTTCTATTTCTAGGTCCTTGAGGAATCGCCACACTGTCTTCCACAATGGTTGAACTAATTTACACTCCCACCAGCAGTGTAAAAGTGTTCCTATTTCTCCACATCCTCTCCAGCATCTGTTGTCTCCAGATTTTTTAATGATCGCCATTCTAACTGGCGTGAGATGGTATCTCAATGTAGTTTTGATTTTCATTTCTTTAATGACCCTTGCTCCTCTCTCCCTGCCTGGCCCCAGGCATTTCCCATTCAGGTGTTCTTTTTTTTTTTTAATTCAATGTGCTTATTTGTTTCTGGTTTGTTCTCTCACCCCAGCCTCATATACGCTGATTGAAGGCAGGGACCTTGCTTGTTTTGTTCATTCCTGTTTTCCCAGGGCCTAGAATAGTTTTTGTCAAATCTATACCTGCATACATGGAAGTGAGGCAGTAGAGAAGAAAAATTGTAGGCATGTATCTGATAGGACCTTAAAACATATTTGATGTATAACTAAGATTTATTTACCCAATTCTTTGTAATCAGCAGAATTAATATAACTTGAAAGCAAATGCATCTTGCTGACATTTGGAACCTCTGTGCATGCATTAATACCAATCAAATTAAGTGTGTGTTTCACAGCCTGCCATTTGGATGAGAGATGCTGGAAAGGCAGAAGGTGGACAGCTTCTTAGCTCTTTTTTTTTCTGGTATATTTAATGACATTCCAGTAAACTGGGCTCTGGGTTTGATTAAAGATTTGTTTGGGGTATGGAGAAACAGTATTGGGAAAGTCTTAACAATCATTTACATTTTGGATTTTACTCAAAAAACAAACATGTCATTGTTAAAAGGCCTACAGCTTAAGTCCTCTGAAATATCGTTTTTTAAAATTTCTTTTATTTTGGTATTTATATTTTTGCCCAATGATTTTTTTAAGGGGGAGTGGGAGGTAGGACATGGCTGTGCTCCTATATTTGTTTTAATAACATTCCCTCATTTTGCTGATTACAAAAGTTACTTTTATTCCTTAGAACATTTGGAAAGTAAAACCAAGTAAAGAAGATAAAAAAATTATCCATAAGTCTGTTTCTTAACAACTGCTCATATTTTTATGTTTCAGTTGTTTTTCTATAATTATGAATATTTGTCATATAGTTCTTCAATTCTAAGATACTATCTGTTCTAAAGTGGGATATTGGTTTATTTATTACATTTTCTTCCTTCCTTCCTTCCTTCCTTCCTTCCTTCCTTCCTTCCTTCCTTCCTTCCTTCCTTCCTTCCTTCCTTCCTTCCTTCCCTCCTTCCCTCCCTCCCTCCCTCCCTCCCTCCTTCCTTTCCCCTTCCCTTCCTTTCCCCTTCCCTTCCTTTCCCCTTCCCTTCCCTTCCCTTCCCTTCCCTTCCCTTCCCTTCCCTTCCCTTCCCTTCCCTCCCCTCCCCTCCCCTCCCCTCCCCAGCCCTCCCCTCCCCTCCCCTCCCCTCCCCTTCCCTTCTTCTTTCATCACTTTAACCCAGTCTAGAGTACAGTGGTGCAATCTTGGCTCACTGCCAGCTGGACTACCCAGGCTCAGCTAATTCTCCTACCTCAGCTTCCCAGGTAGCTGGAACTGCAGGCACACACCACCATGCCTGGCTAACAAGGTTTTGCTATGTTGCCCAGGCTGGTCTCGAACTCCTGGACTCAAGCTATCTGCTTCAGCCTCCCAAAGTGCTGGGATTACATGCATGAACCACTCTATGCCTGGCCTATTTATTACATTTCAAGAAAAACAAATAAAGTTAAAGATATTTTTTTTCCTAAAAAAATGGCAATTGCATACCATTTTCTTTGTACAAAATTTCAGAATTAGTTTCCTTCTCATTATGAGTTTAAAGTTTATACTAAATCACTCTTGGCTTGTCCTAATTCTGCATATCATCTCTGTTTTGTGCTGCTCCTATAATGTGTGCTTCAAATCTTGATCCCTGTAACATTTGTGTCTATAGCCTAATGTCAAAGTATAGTGAACAATGCAGTTGACCCTTGAACAACACGAGTTTGAACTGTGTGGGTCAACTTATTGTATGTGGATTTTTTTTTCATTAAAATTACACCAAGAGTGCCTGCCTCTCCTGCCTCCCTTTCCATTTCTTTTACCTCTTCTACCTCTGCCACCCCTGAGACAGTAACTCCCACATTTTTAAGGGTCAGCTGTAATGGGATTTTATCCACATTCCCTATTTGGTTAAACTTACAATTTTTTCTTCGATTGAATTACACATCACAAGCCTCTCTTGAAATTTAGCCAGAAGCTTTTACTCATGGATTTTCAGTGCCCAAATAATAGTCCTTCATAGTGCATGAATCAGTCAAACCAAAGTCTCCAAGCTTTTAAGATTTCATGATATATTTGGAGAGACTGGGCACCTTTCCCATATGCATTGCAAGAAATGACAAGTATGTCACAACTTAATCTATTTGGCAGCTTGCAAGTTCTTTTTGATATAAATTATTAAATGCATCCTAATTAAAAAAAATATCAAGAGGTACAAAAATGCATCATAGAATCAAACATATATGGTATATATATAACAATGTGAATGCCTTTTTATTTCAGCATATGTTTTTCAACTCTGCAGCACACTAGAGTTTCATGGATATTAAAGATAAATCTATAACAACGCCACACCCTCAGACCTTCTAGAGGGGCCTCGGAACTAATATTTATATAAAAAATGAGACCAAAAAATCTTCTCAAATTCCAATGAGCAGGCTGACTTGAGGACCACCATTTTAATAATTGGTAGACTAGATTACTCTTACAGTGGGAATTGACTTTGGGAAATACCTAGATCAGCAGCCTAGGATAGAAGGCAGGATTTAGAGAGAACTGTTGTCTAGGAATCTCAGTGACAAAAGAGAGAGTCTAGAGGCTTTGCACAGGGAAATGAGATAATTTATTTTATTGCTCTAAAGGAGGAGGGGTAGAGAAGAAAGAGAGGGCGAGGAAAGATGTGCTCATGAAATATGAAACCAAGTGACCTAATGTGCAAATGGGCCATTGGAAGTTTTCCTGTGGTGAGGTAGCCAACGTAATTTTTGAAAATGATAATGTTCAATTTGTAATGATTTGCACATTGTTGTATGAACTTTTCCTGCATCTTTCTTCCAAATCCTTGATTCTATTATACTCTTGAATGCTTTATGAAATTATTTTCTTGGTTGAAACTGAATATTGAGGTTTGGGCTAAAAAATAAAAACCTAAAGAAATTAAGGAAGGAGCTGAGCTAACACTCTAAAATCTGGATTGAGGCGGGACCAAAAAGAGGATTGTGGAGCTGAGGTGACCGTGAATATATCATCTTTTAGGAAATCTTAGCAAGAGGTTTGCTTTCTTGTAAGGCATGGAATTAGTAGCTTAAGCTACTAATTTAGTTTAACATGTAAATCCAGGGAATCTTCACTTGACATGCCATTCAACACACAAAAACATACTCCTATATTTTTGTATTCATATTTTAAAGTAAATTGGGATCATACTGTGTATCCAGTTTTGTATGCTAATTCTTTCACTTAGTATAAAGCCACAAATACTTCCCTATATCATTAATTATTTTGAGAAATGGATACGGTTTGCTGTGCAAATCTCATCTTGAATTGTAGCTCCCATAATTCCCACATGTTGTAAGAGGGACCTGGTGGGAAATAATTGAATCATGGGAGCAGTTTCCCCCATAGTGTTCTCATCATAGTGAATAAGTCTCATGAGATCTGCTGGTTTTTTTAAGGGGTTTCCCCCTTTTGCTTTATCCTCAATTCTCTCTCTTACCCCTGTCATGTGAGACTTGCCTTTTGTTTTCCACCATGATTGTGAGGCCTCCCTAGCCACGTGGAACTGTGAGTTCATTAAATCTCTTTTTCTTTATAAATTACCTAGTCTTGGACTTGTCTTTATCAACAGCATGAAAACAGACTAATACAGAGCATGAATTTTAATAGTCTATCTTATAATCATACTATGATCTATGTAAACATTATCTTATGAGACACAGTAGGATACTGTCAGTATTCAGAATCTGAGGTCACACACTCTGCCTTCACTGCCCCAGCTGTGTTGCTTAGGCAGGCATTCCAACATCACTGCCTTGAAGCTGACACAACATTATCCTTCACAAAAGGATTTGCAGTTTCAATGGCTAAAAAATTGCTCTAAATTGTTTTAAATTTATGTCTCTTTGGTTAGTGAGTTTGAACTCCACTTTACCTGCTATTAGCATTTCACTAATTCATTCTTCTGAAATCAGCTTTCCAGGATTGAAATGTTAATTTATTTGAATGGATATGTATCCATGTGGCTCTGCTGAAAAAAGAAGGTTATCAATCATGGTAGAGGAAGCAGATCTACCTCAAGGAAGTGGCGTTTCATTTGTATAATCAAATAAATTACATACCTACTTCTTTGAGAGCAAATATTCCCAAGTGTTCAAACCCATCTAAAGATATTCAGATGAATAAGGCAGAGGAATACTTATGAGAAAAAAGGCAGAAGCTGCCAGTTGCTTAGGAAGTTAATCTCAGGATCTTATTAGGGTGTGATTTAGAATAACTGGGCATCATCAGCTTCACAATAGCGATGAGAAAGGCACAGGAGATGCTGGATAGCAAACCTAGCAGGCAGTCTGTCCATGGATCATGCATGGTCCTAAAAGCCGCTTGTCAGAAGACTATTTCATTCACAAAACTGACATAACAATTATAATTAATTTTTCAGCCAGAGGAGTATATTGAAGAGATGGTGCTCCTTGCTTTCATTCTCTAAAGGAAGCAAGATGATGTTTTTCTGAGGGCTTTGAAAGGCCAGTGTCACTCTTGACAGCTGCCACAAGTTATCAAGGAAGAGAACAGACATTAGGCAACTTGTTTATCTTCATCCTGAGGAAGTCACAGGTCTCTTTAGGGACTGGGTATTGGTTGACGTCATGATGTTTTCTGAGGACTACAGTAGAGCAGCTGGGGCTAGGAGGTATAATAACTCCTGAGCCCAAGCTCTTTGTATTGATACTCCCTTTATGTCAGTGAAACAAAGAAGGTGAATAAACCAATTTCTAACTCTTCTAAAGTTAAACCAAGAGTTCACCCAGTGTATTTTCCCAGGGGTTGACAAACTACCAAATGCGTCCTGAGAGCAAAGATTTTTTTCCTTTTTCTTTTTTACATTTTTAAGTGTAAAATGGAAAGGCCTGTTAGCCTTTGATAAGAACAGCTGCTTGATTTTGCCTTTTGGCTGCAAAGCCTGGAGTATTTATTCTCTGGTCTTTTACAGAAAAGGCTTGCCTATGCCTGTGTTATGCTCCCAATATCTGTACCTGCGTCAGGCTGCCCGGTATTCCTGTAGCTCTCTCAGATCTCCCCACTGGAGTCTCCTGTTCACCTAGACCACACCTACAGTGATGCCCTGATGAGAAAGGTATGTCTGTGATCCTGAGAGTGAGAAAAGGCAAGAGGAAACGCGGGGAATTCAAAGCTAAATTTTAGGTGAGACAGAGCAATGGAGGAAGGTAATACAAGGATGGGAAATATATGAAATGCTAGAAGAAAACCCTCCCTGACCCAGCTGGCTGGGTAGCAGAGGCTGTGAGCTTAATGGAGGAAAAGATGGTCATGTTCTTCCAGTTCAACAGGGAGGGCAGAAAGCCAAATGGGGAGCTTTTAAAAGAGAAGATAGATGGTCTCTAAATACCACTTGACTCTGTTAAAGATACTTGGAGAATATAGATTATACTTAAAAATAGCAAAGCTGTACAGGTCAGGCTTTAGCTCAGGGGAGAGGAAAGAGAAGGGCAATGCCAGAGATCAACAGCCTTGGAAACAAATGCTTTCCAGGCAGCCGAAAGGCATGATCAGAGAATAAGAAATGAAGCAGAGAACTGCAAAGGGTAGAAACTCCTAAAAAGAGAACTGGAGGAAAGTGGAGATGGGCCAGAAACCACAGAGGTCCAGCAAAAGGTCAGGAGATGGGGGTTGCAGGTGCACATGATGGGGGTTTAACAAAAACCATTCACCTTTATTTTGAGATCTTTCCTACCCTTTCAAATCTCTTTAGAAATTGCAGAAGAGATTCCTATTTCATGTTTCTTTCTGAATATACATATTCACTCTCTTTTGCCAAAATATCCAAAATAAGTTTGCAGACATCACAAGTTACTCCTAAGTACAACCATGCACGCATGTCAAGAACAGGGACAGATTATGAAACTACAGTTCATGACTGCACCTGAGAAAAAATTACTATCTCGATTGCAATATCAACAGAATTGAAACTCATGTTTCTGCAGTTGTTCCTAAGTGGCTGGGGTTTTTCCCACCTCTCAATCCAGAAATTAATCAAGGCTCATGCATAGCATTTGGCAGTTATGTCTTCTTAGTATTCCCGGATTGAGAAGAGACCCATTACTTTCCTTTGTTTTGCCTTATTTTAAGGTCACGTTTATTGAGGTATAATATACACAATTAAAAAATATTTAAGGGCCGGGCGCGGTGGCTCAAGCCTGTAATCCCAGCACTTTGGGAGGCCGAGGCGGGTGGATCACGAGGTCAACAGATCAAGACAATCTTGGTCAACATGGTGAAACCCTGTCTCTACTAAAATTACAAAAAATTAGCTGGGCATGGTGGTGTGTGCCTGTAATCCCAGCTGCTCGGGAGGCTGAGGCAGGAGAATTGCCTGAACCCAGGAGGCGGAGATTGTGGTGAGCCGAGATCGTGCCATTGCACTCCAGCTTGGGTAACAAGAGCGAAACTCCGTCTAAAAAAAAAATATATATATATTTAAAAGCTTACACTTAATGTAGAATTCTGTGAGTTTTGACAAACCCATACAATTGTGTTAGTACCACAGCAGGTTAGAAGCCTAGATGTAGAACAGTTTCATTACCTTTATAAAGTCCTCATGTCTTCCACTGTCAACCCCTCCTCTAAACTCAGTCCCTGATAACCATCAATCAATTTTCTGTTCCTGTAGTTTTGCCTTTTCCAGAATATCATATAAATGGAATCACACAGCCTCTGGCCTTTTGAATCTGGGTGATTTCACTTAGCTTAATGCATTTGAGATTCATCGACATTGTTACATGTATTAGTCGTTTGTTCCCTTTTATTGTTGAGTGTTATTTCACTGCATGACTGTACTATGATTTGCTTATCTATTCACTAGTTGAAAGATCTATGGTTTGTTTTCAGTTCTAAATGATTAAGGGTAAAGCCATAAGAAACATGCAGGGTAAGTTTTGAGGTGAGTGTATGTTTTCATTTCTCTTGGGTAAATACCTAAGAGTGGATTTGATGCATGTTATGGTAAATGTATGTTTGCATTCGCAAGTAAGTGCCAAACTGTTTTCCGAAGTGATTGTACCATTTTGCACCCAAACACACAGCCATTTGCTTTGTTCACTCTGCAGAGACTCTAAGTAGTTGTTATCTGTGTGAGAGTTGATCTATCGGTTTACTCCATCATGTCAGAAGGGGAACACTGCTTTATCTTAATCAATATAATTATACAATCCTGAAAGCTAGTCTAAAAGTGTGATGCTACTGATATTTTAAAGTCTCAGAGCTGGAGATTTTTGAAGGGACCTAGTGTAACTTTCCTATTTACTCATGACCAAATGGAGACCCCTTGATATTAAATTCATTTATCGATTCATTTAATGAAGACTTTTTAAGCACTTACTATGTGCCATAGTCTGTGCTGGGTACTGGGACAGTAGAGACGGCTTGCCCCTTGGCCTCCAGCCCTTGTATGAGCGGGCTTGGGTTCAGTCTTCCACCTTCTAGCTCATTGCTTTTTCAGCTACCGCTGGGGAGAATGAGTGAGAGTGAAGGGGAGAAGAAGCCTTCACAGCCTAGGCTGTGGGCATGAAAATGACCAAATTTTGGCAGCCTGAACCAGACACAGAGTTACAGTAGCCTTAAATTTTCATAAACTTTTTCTGCTGGGATCCTGGGGAACTGAGCCATGTGTATAGAAAAGCTTCTCTAGGATCATTGTTGTTAGAGTGAAAGTGTGAGATGTATCCCTCAACTACATCAATGTTCATCTTAGGGAGAGCCTGTTGCAGATACCCGTTGAAGAATGGCAGGCTTGAGGGTGCTAGAGTTAGTGCATTGGGCAGCCAAAAAATTGCCTGGCTATCCATGTTTCTTTCTTGGGCCTTGCCTAAAGAGTAACTGCCAGGTTTCCTCTCCTAGCCCTGTGAGTTAGTTCATGCAGCCGTGAGCTACTACTACTTACTGCCACGTGGCTGGCTGTGGCTCTCTGCAGGCAATAAATCAACCCGCCTGGATGTGGGAGTGGTTGACTTGGTTGCATTTGATTTCTTTCTGTAGGGAGACTTAGGAATTGGCTCTGTGAAAAATGGAGAGGAGAGGGTGGAGACAGGAGAGTTTAAACCTCTTTGTTGGGCCTTTTCAGTTATTCATGGAAAATCTATATACTCTGTTATCAGCTCTAAGCAAAGCAACTTTGTTGTTTCTATTGATCATGCAATTTATTATCTTTATTTAAACTCTTCAGGCAATAAATAAATAAAAAGCAGTTTGAGGGAAAGAAGCTTCTCAGGAGAAAGTAATTTTCCAGGAAAGTAGTTTAATCCTTTTAAAATTAGGTATACCAACTTAAAGATAGTATCTGATTATTCTATTTGATTCCCCTTTAAAGATGATACTGGTCTCGTTTTCTCCTTTAGTTGAAATCTTTTCAAGTTTCACTTCTATTCTCACCAAACCCTGCATTGCACTCATACGTTAATCTTCAAAGAAAACATAGTAAAATATATTACAACTATAAATAAGTCAGTTTCACAGTCTTATTTCTCTGTCACTTGCTGGTAAATACAATTGACTAAATCTTTAAATCTGTCATTGGTAAAACTGGGACGCTATTTGCATTGTCTACTCTGTGGTCGGATATGAAGATCATACAAGATGACAATGCTGATGAAAACACTTTTGTATAGTGATTCACTGTTCATTACATTATTTAACATTTATCTTTCGTCTAGATCCTCTGATACCAAATCCAGCATTCTTTACAGCATAGCATATGTAGTATGATAAAATTAGAGAGTCGAATGAGACAACCTCTAAGTTCCTTTTTTTGATTTAAAATTCTGTGATTTTACTGCAGCTTTTCATAGAGAGTTGTTTGAAAGCTGGGAACTCAATAATTTCTCTTGGGATTCCCCTTGAATCTGGGGAAAATGGCCACTTATTGGGCAACTGAATATTTTACCACCTTCATGGATTCTCAGCCTCCCTCTGCAGGTCTGCTCGGCTGCCTCCAGGTCCTTGAGTGCCTGTGTGTGTGGCAGGGTGCTGTGCTCTTCCTCCTGCACCTCCTCATTCCGTCCCTCTGCTGTGTGTTGCATTCCCGCTCCGCACCTGCTGCCATGTCGACGTTCTTCACGTTCGTTCGTCTGTGCCTCCCTATGTTGCTGTTTCTATTCTTACATTTACTCTTTCCTTTGCCCTTACTAGATAAGTGCTCCCAAGTTTTCTTCATCAGTGAGATATTCTCGATTTCTGAGTTGAATCCCTTTTTATTTAAAAAAAAGACAAAAATATGTTCTTTCCTTAATACCAACATTGGTTTGCTCCCCTAAGGTAATTCACAGGAACTTTAATAGGTTTCTGTATGGGCACAAGAAGGGCAACAGGTGATGGTCTAGTTTTTTTCGGGGGGATGTATGTGTAGTTATAACTATGTCATTTACCCATAGGAATACAACATGATACCCCCCAATATATGTTTATGCTTAATAGCCTCCAAAAAGCTTCTGTATTTTTAATATTATTATTTTTAATTTTCTTAACTTAAAAATTGTTTGCCATAAAATTCACATTCATATAAAGTCTCTGTGTTTTTATCTTTCTTTTTCAACTGCTTTCCTTGTTCCAGGATACTATAGTTGCTTTTTTTTTTTTTTTTTTGAGAGAAGGAAAGAAAAAAAATGAGTAAAGGAGAGGAAGAAAGAGGAAGAGAAAGAGGGAGGGTGAACGGAAATATTGCTTTATTCTGAAAAAAAAAATGGGTATTAATAATGGCCAATCAATGTTTCATTTAAACCTATGAGTAGGTGTGATGTGGTATTGACAAGAATGTATATTTTGTGTATTTGAAGTGGAGAGCTCTATAAATATTTATTAAGTTTACTTGTTCCGGATCTGAGTTCGAGTCCTTGATATCCTTATTAATTTTCTGTCCCATTGAATCTAAGTCTCCATGTATCTGGGTGTTAGGATCGTTAGCTCTTGTTGCATTGATCCTTTTACCACTATATATTTGTTACTTTAAAATCTATTTTATCTGATACGAGAATTGCAACTCCTGCTTTTTATTTATTTATTTATTTATTTATTTTTGCTCTCCATTTGGTTGGTAAATCTTTCTCCATCCCTTTGTTTTGAATCTTTGTGTATCCTTGCATGTGAAACAGGTCTGGATGTAACATGCCATTGGGTTTTGGCTGTGTCTTTTGATTGGGGGATTTAGTCGATTTAAATTTAGGGTTACTGCCATTTGATGTTAACTGGCTGTTTTATCCATTCATTGATGTAAATTCTTCTTTATGTTGGTGCTTTTTACTTTTTGATATATATTTTTAGAACGGCTAATACTGGTTGTTTCTTTCTGTGTGTAATGCTTCTTTCAGAAGCTCTTGTAAAGCAGGCCCGGTGGTAATAAAATCTCTGAGTACTTGCTTGTTCATAAAAGATTTTATTTTTCCTTCAGTTGTGAAGCTTAGTTTGGCTGGATATGAAATTCTGGGCTGAAGGTTCTGTTCTTTGAGGATGTTGAATATTGGCCCCCACTCTCTTCTGGCTTGTAGGGTTTCTGCTGAGAGATCTGCTGTAAGTCTGATAGGCTTGCCTTTGTGGGTAACCTGACCTTTCTCTCTGGCTGCCCTTAGTATTTTCTCCTTCCTTTCAACCCTGGTGAATCTAATGATTATGTGCCTTGGGGTTGCTCTTCTTGAGGAATATCTTTGTGGTGTTCTCTGTATTACCTGGGGTTGAATATTGACCTGCTTTGCTAGTTTAGGAAAATTTTCCTGAATAATATCCTGAAGGGTATTTTCCAGCTTGGATTAATTCTCTCCGTCACATTCAGGTGCACCTATCAAACGTAAATTAGGTCTTTTCACATAGTCCCACATTTCTTGGAGACTTTGCTCATTCCTTTTTATCCTATTTTCTCTAATCTTGTCTTCTTGTTTTATTTCATTAAGTTGGACTTTGACCTCTGATATCCTTTCTTCTGCTTGAACAATTCGAGTGTTTAAACCTGTGCATACTTCTCGGAGTTCTTGTATTGTATTCTTCAGTTCCATTAATTCACTCATACTCCTCTCTAAGTTGTCTATTCTCAATAGGATTTCATCAAACCTTTTTTCAGAGTTCTTTGTTTCTTTACGTTGGGCTACAACATGTTCTTTTAACTCACAGAAGTTTCTTATTATCCATTCCCTGAAGCATGATTCTGTTATTGGGATGCGCTCGTTCTCCATCAAGCCTTGTTCCATTGTTGATGTGGAACTGAGATAATCTTTAGAGGGAGAGGCATTCTGATTTTGAGTATTCTCAGTCTTTTTACGCTGGTTTCTTCCCATTATTGTAAATTTATCCTCCTGTTGTCTTTGAAATTACCAACTTTCAGATTAGGTCTCTTGAGTGGACTTCCAAGTTGTTAGTTCCCATGGCCAGAACAGCGGCATTAAGACTGATGGTGCTTTTCTGCCCAGGATTCTCCTGTCTGGCTTCCTTCTTGTGTCTGTAATAGGCGACTCTGCCTTCCCGGGGCTCCAAACCTCGGTCAGAAGGGGAGCCAGTCCTGTTTACTCTGCGCCGAGAGCTGCCGTGCCGAGGTGTTGTCACAGCCGCTGTGCCAGCCTCAGGAGTCGTGCTGGGGACCCGTGTGGGTCCTCCAAACCTCGGTTGGAAGGAGAGCCAGCCCTGTTTACTCTGCGCCGAGAGCTGCCGCGCTGAGGTGCTCACAGCTGCCGCACTGGTCTCAGGAGTCGTGCTGGGGACCCGTGTGGGTCCTCCAAACCTCGGTCGGAAGGGGAGCCAGACCTGTTTACTCTGCTCCGAGAGCTGCTGCACTGAGGTGCCGGTGAAACCACTGCGCCGGCCACAAGAGTCGTGCTGGGGACCCGTATGACTCCTCCACTGGGGTTCTTCTGCTCCGTGAGCGACCAGAATTTGTCTGAAAGTGTGGCAGTCTTCTAGTTCTCTGCGCTTCCACTGAGAGCTGCAATCCCGAGATGTTAGTGATCGGCCATCTTGGATCGTTCCCCCCCTGTAGTTGCTTTTTAATTTAAATGTATCTTAAACCAAGATTCCATGAAGCTTAATCATAAGGGACAGTGCTAGCCACAGGAAGGCATGGCACACTTGCATGCAAAGGCAGCATGGTGCAGTAGAAAAATCATAGGCTTTGTAGCTGGCAGATAGATGTGAATCTTGGCTCTGCAACTTACTAAATTTGTTAGCCTAGAAAAGTTATATTTAGCCTCTTTGTGCTTTAACGTCCTTATCTCTAAAATTGGGTGATAATAATAATAACAATCTCATTGATCTGATGTGATAGCTAAGAAACTTTGCCCATGAGTCATCGCTACTAACCTAATTCATGGAGAAGGAGAATTGGTTGCCATAGGATCAATTAGACCTGAATAAGTATATAGTGAACAAGGACAAAAGAAAGGAAAGGAGTGGGAAAATGAGGAACAGAAGAAGGCAGTAAAGAAACTTGAGCCTTACAGAATATAGCCATGATGGAAAGACACTGAAGACAGCCCAGGAAGGACAGATTATGGTGGTTTTACACTCCGAGACCTGGGCCAGTTCTTGGAAGGGAACTTTGAAAGAGGGAAAAGGGAGAGGCAAGCTGAAAGATTGGATCAAAGTGGAGCAAAGGGAGGCCAAAAAGAGGAAAAGAGGGAAAGAACAATGAAAACAAATGAGCAGAGAGGAAAGAGGAGCTAAGAAATTCTCGGTGGCTCTTTGGGTCCAGAAGAGGGAGCTGGAGGCAGAAAGTGAGATATTTGTTGAAATGGAAAAGTCGTTTTATAGTTTTTCAGGAGGAGGCTGTACTGAACCCATGAAATAGAAATGCATGAGTCGATATTAATGAATTAAGGAATTTGGGGTGAGCTTTAATTTAGCAGAGAAGCAGTTTATTTATAGAATTTCTCACAAGAAAGATTAACCACTGAGGGAACACTGAAAATGTTACTTGGGCTAATGACCTAAATAACCCATTCATTCTGTTTAAGAATAGGGGGCAGAAGAAGGAGATGTGACTTGATTACTGTTCTATGAATGGAGAGATTAAATTTAGCATTCTTTCTAAGAAGTGTAAAAGAGGACTCTGGGAGTGAACAGATGAGGTTAATCACCTGCCAAGTACCTTTCGTTTATGCATAGCACAAGGTTTTAACCAGTGCAGGGGATAACCAAAAACACTTTACCTGCATAGATTATGTGATTTTCTGTACATGATATAGCTGGAGGCAACTCTTCTGTAAAGTGAACAAGAATGGCTGCTTAGGGCCACTGAGGGATAAAGGACTCTGGTTATCACCATGAATGAACTAAAGTGGGATTGCAAGATGCTCAACTGCTGTATGTACATAGGCTCCTGCCTGAGTCACAGAGCGCATAGAGTACAAAAGAAAGTTTCTTTAAAGCAGAAAGTAGAGGGCCGGGCGTGGTGGCTCAAGCCTGTAATCCCAGCACTTTGGGAGGCCGAGACGGGTGGATCACGAGGTCGAGAGATCGAGACCATCCTGGTCAACATGGTGAAACCCCGTCTCTACTAAAAATACAAAAAATTAGCTGGGCACGGTGGTGCATGCCTGTAATCCCAGCTACTTGGGAGGCTGAGAGGCAAGAGAATTGCCTGAACCCAGGAGGTGGAGGTTGCGGTGAGCCGAGATCGCGCCATTGCACTCCAGCCTGGGTAACAAGAGTGAAACTCCGTCTCAAAAAAACAAAAACAAAAACAAAAAACAGAAAGTAGAAAATCAGTGAATCACATCCACTGGTTTGTGAAAAGCCCATTCTTCTCTTATTAAGTACAAGAACTTTTAGGTATTTCTTTAGCCCAGCAGGAACATAAAACTAGAAAATCTGAGTAGATTACCCAGAGTCTCCATTTTATCTTTTTATTTCTATCTTGGCCCAAGCCCCTGAATTTCTGTCAGTTATAGTCAGGGCCCTCTACTGAAAGAAGCGCTATGAAAACTTGAACACACATGAGAGCCGGCTTTCCACCCAGGCAAGCAGCAGGAACCGAGGCTCCTCCTTCCCCTTTCATGAGGAATTTCTTCTCTAAGGCCCTCTGTTGATCTCTCTTGAGAGATGACATTGGTCTGGGTCACCTTAGGCCATCAGTCATATTCTAATAATTTGAACCTTAAAATGAAGGGGTTCTGGTTTCTACTTCCTTTCCTTGTGTACTGTATGAACTTCAGATGCAGAAGATGTATGGGCACGGGGCTTTGCCTAACTACACTCACAACTCTTGGCCAATTAACTAAGGATGGTACTAAAGAGAATCAAAACCCCATTCAATTACATATGGACTTCAAATTCCAGAATGAGTGCAAGATGAGGGAAATGAGGTAGTATTTAAAACAGAATCTCAAATAAGAGCCAACCAATACTGCCCCAGCTCTTGCCCCCAGTTCTAAATTCTTCTCTTGCACATCGAAAGGGAGAAAGAAGAGGAGCACGTGAGAGTGGCTTGAAGGACTCTGCCCTTCCTCACACATCTGGGCAAAACTCATCATAATAAGGGAAATCAGTTGACATCAAAATCCATCAAAGAGAAAATGCAGCAATTCTTGCTAGATTCAATTTTCAATTTTCATACAGGAATTAAAGCTAATTTATTTGTAATAGTCAAAATTTGGAAATAATCCAAATGTCCTACATTGAGTAAATGGCCAAACAAACTGTGCCAAGGGCCCACCATGGAACACCCACTAGCAATAAAAAGGAGCAATTCATAAAGATACCAACGTAGGGGATCTTTGTGGTGATGGAATTATGGTGATGGATCTGTGGTTGCACAGATCAACACATGATAAAATTGCTATGTGCACATGCAGGCACATGCACACACACACAAGTCAACACATAAAATTGCATAGAACTATGTGCACATGCATGCACACACACACAAACACACACAAGTCAACACATAATAAAATTGCATAGAGCTATGTGAACATGCACGCACATGCACACACACACATGTCAACACATGATAAAATTGCATAGAGCTATGTGCACATGCACGCACACACACGTCAACACATAAAATTGCATAGAACTATGTGTGCATGCACACACACACGTCAACACATAAAATTGCATAGAACTCTGTGCACGTGCATGCACACACACAAACACACACACAAGTCAACACATAATAAAATTGCATAGAGCTATGTGAACATGCACGCACATGCACACACACATGTTAACACATGATAAAATTGCATAGAGCTCTGTGCACATGCACACACACACGTCAACACAAAATTGCATAGAACTATGTGCACACACATACATCAACACATGATAAAATTGCATAGAACTATGTGCATATGCACACACACACACAAAGTCAACACGTGATAAAATTGCATAGAACTATGTGCACATGCACGCACACACACACACACAATTGTATGTGAAATGGGAGGAATCTGAATAAGATCTGTGGTTTGTACAAATGCTAATTTTTGCCTTGAATATTGTGCTATAATTGCATTACTATTGATGTTATCATTGGAGGAATTGGGTCCAAGAAAAATAGGACCAAGAAGGAAAAATAATAAAATAAAAATTATTTGTATTCCTTAAAAAAAGAATTAAAGCTAAATATTGACAAAGAAAATTTACTTCTTGCAAATAATTGGGGTTGAAGTGTTTGTATGGGGAAATTCATAGGTTATAATATGGCTGAGTTGGAAGGTATATGATCATGGATGTCAATTATGGAGGAGAAAATATTGATTTGGGAGTTTATACTTCCACAGAATAAATGTGAAAACAAAAGTAGCAAAAAAAGGTGACATTACAAAGGGATTTTCTACTGTAGTTCATGAAAGATAATACCAGAAAGTTGCTTGTGTATTTAAACATTTAGTAAACATATGAGAATGTATAAAATAACTTTCTTTAAAAAATGTACATTAATAATCTGGGTCAGAATTATAAAAATTAGAATTAAGAAAATTAACCTTTTAGAAAAAAGGGGAGTGGTGAAGTGGAAAGTGAAATATTGCATCTTTTGCAATGGCACTCTCTAATTACTAAAATTAGTTTCTCAGAAGTTGGGAGATCTGGCAGAAATCCATAAATATAAACAACTTCTTGTCTGAAAAGAAATAAATGAAAACTGAGACATTACAGAGGCTGAAGGAGGAGCCCTGATTCTGTTCTCAGCTATCCACATGATGGGACATTTTATAAAAGAATTCAAAGGAAGTTTTCAAGGTGAGGGGTAGACTCAGAGGCTTTGAGTAAAATAGATATTCTGAATGGAGCAGAAATACCTAGAGGACACAAAAAGAGGAGACAAACAAACCAAACAAAGACAAAGGTGAAGACAACGGAATAGAAGAAATTCAAGGACAGATGAGACAAATCTTCCAGTTTGAAGCAGAGAGTTGTGTGAGAGAGGTCAGCCCGCCCTCAGGAAGGGCAGGGGTGCAGCCAGGCAGGAGTTGAGGAAGAAGGGGAGGTACTTAAAGAGGAGGGTGACTTTGAAAGAGAAATGGCTGATCATAGAATTGTGTTGAGATCCTGGGAAGCCAAGGGGAAAGGTGGAGAGAGAAAGGGAGGGATGCGGGCTCAGTGATGTGGTAGAGAACCGAGTGCTCACACAACAGTGAAGTAGCAATCTGGCAGCAGCAGGCATCACAAGGGATGGAGATAACCTGGAGAGATGGAGATAACCAGGTTATTGAGGTTCAGGATACGCAGGAGCTGCGTTCCCAGAAGGGTTTGAGGATTGCCTGAGCTAATCATTGCCTGCTGCTGTTAATGCTGCATGGGAAAAGTACCATATGGCCAATGGAGAAAAAACAAGGAATATAAAAATTATATTGTTAGAGGGTGGAAGGAGATCAGAATTAGACATTTTTTATAAAGTTCTCTGAGATGTTAAATTATTTATTTTAATAAGCTATAAGGTGTAAATGAGAAGATACATGTAAAATACTTAGAACAAGGCTGGGCACGTAAGTGCTCAATAAATGGTACTGTTATTTGAAATGTCATTATTTTATAAAAGTTTATAAGGCTCTTTTTCTTCAATAAAGTATTTTCTTTTTCAAAAATTATTTTATCTTTATTTTTTAGCAGGGCTGCTTTCATCCTTGCTATGGATGGCACAGCCTCCTCCAATAAAATATTTTCTTACCTGTCTCTTTTCTCTCCTCTCATGGTTTCTTATAGATTCAGTTTAATTAGATGTTTCCTTCTCCATTGCATATTATAACAGGAGAAAAAGCCCAGGAGAATTGCAAAAATCTCATCATTAGTGAGAGTAGACCTCCATCATCATTTATTGAAATTTATTTTTGAAGCATGATCTGCAACAATAGGAACACTAGGATGCATTGTAAAGAAGAATTTTAAGAACATGAGCTGTGATATTAGATAGATTTGGGTCTGAATCCTGGCTCTTCATCTTACTAAGTCTACATTCAAGAGGAGTTTGACTTTTGTAAGTGTAGTGTTCTTCTTTACAACACAGATATAATAGTGTAAGTTACCAAGAAAAAGTGATACATACATCATAGGGTTGTTTTCATAATCAAGTGAGACCAACTGATCTTGCTTTCACCATCCTCCTCTCCAGTAATGGCCTCTTCCAGACTGCCGCGGTCTCAGCCCCAGCTTGGACCAATTGCAGTTTCCAGGACACCTGGCTAAAATTAATCAGTTTACGTGTGAACACTGGGTGTGGTCCAACCTGGGCCAATCATAGCCTTCATAGTTTTTTGAATATTAATTGAAAAAGTGTGTGGAGGAGATCTTTTTATAGTGAGAAAAAGCCAATACATGGAGAAAAAAGACAAGACTTTGGGGGAAGAGAGGATCAAACAGAAAGTAAATATGATTCAGATCCCTTTTTAACTGTGATGCCTTGAGCTCTACAGACCTCTGATCTGTAGATCTCTCACTTTTGTGATTCTCAACTTAATGGGTTCCACCCTGATGCAATTCAAAGCAATGGCCTTAGATGAAGAAGCACTAGCTCAGTTCATAGCTTTGCCCCCTGGCTATATTTTTTTTACAGAGAAAGGACTGTGTTTAATCAGGCTTCGCTATAACTGTGATCTTTACTTTTTCTAAGGTTTAGTCTCAATATCTATGCTGGGCTACCATTGGCTTGGGGTAGAGAATTTGGTTTCTTGAAATTTGAAAGGCTCAAAATTATTGGACTTTTGGGTAACTGAAAGGGCTTTTATTAGCAAAGCTGTATGTTCTTTACTGTTTTACACTGATGTTAAACATCTCTTTCTTATAGTACCTCACTGAAAGCTGCAAGAAATTGCCAAAACATGCCAAGACCTGAAAAATTCCCATTTAAAAAAAATACCTTAGTTTTGGTGACTACATTTTATAAGTCCCAAGGCATACCAGGCAAACATCTAGCCACATATTTTGCATCTATGTGACAAGGGTTATAAACTAACCCTCTGGAAAGGCAGGGGTCCTTAGATGCCTCCATCTTTCTCCTCCATCCTCCCTCCTTCAGTCAGCTGATTCTACATTTAAGAGCAGACTGATGTTAACTTCCAAGTTCTAGAAATGAATAGCTAGGAGTTTGAAGTGGAAGTGTTGAAAATCACTTCTGGCTTATTTACACAGAGAAGCGTTGCATTCAAGAGGAATTGGGCAGCTGAAACAACTGTTTCGAGGATTAGAGAGCTATGCAAGGGAGTCTGGGAAAGTGAGTACAGTTGACCCTTGAACGACATGTTTTGAACAACGTGAATTTGAACTCCATGGGTCCACTTATACATGGGTTTTCTTCAGCCTCTGCCACCCCCGAGACAGCAAGACCAACCTCTCCTCCTCGTCTTCCTTAGGCATCTCAATGTGAAGATGATGAGGATGAAGACTTTTATGATGATCCACTTCCACCTAATGAACAGTAAATAAATTTTCTCTTTCTTAGGGTTTCCTTAATAATATTTTCTTTTCTCTAGCTTACTTTATTGTAAGAATACTCTCTCTCTTTCTCTCTGTCTATTACATATACTACAAAATATTCTCTCTCTATATATATACATATTACACATACCATAAAATATTAATTGACTTTATATTATTGGTAAGGCTTCTGGTTAACAGGAAGCTATTTTGGGGGAGTCAAGTTATATGTGGATTTTTGACTCTGTGTGAGGTAGTCAGTACCCCTAAACCCTATGTTGTCTGAGGGTCAACTGTATGTGGTATTTTCAGGCTACAGCGGAGGCAGCTTTTGTGTTCTATCGACTCTCCATAAAAAGAAAAGTTTTCTGCGTGGCCGGGCGTGGTGGCTCACGCCTATAATCCCAGCACTTTGGGAGGCCGAGGTGGGTGGATCACGGGGTCAAGATATTGAGACCATCCTGGTCAAAAAGGTGAAACCCCGTCTCTATTAAAAATACAAAAATTAGCTGGGCATGGTGGTGTGCGCCTGTAGGTCCAGCTACTTGGGAGGCTGAGGCAGGAGAATTGCTTGAACCCAGAAGGCGAAGGTTGGGTGAGCCGAGATTGTGCCATTGCACTCCAGTCTGGGTAACAACAGCGAAACTCCAACTAAAAAAAAAAGAAAAGTTTTCCCAATATAGAATGTGTTTCAGATGTTTGGTGGCCAAAATATGACAAACATCCAATACACAGGGTGATTGTGCTGATGAGGCACTTTCCTCTTCTTCCTTATGTTCCTATTTATTCTTGCAACAACTTCTTGTAGTGAAGAATCTGTGTGTGTCTTTCCCTTGTGACCCCAAGAAACCAGACCAGCTGGATTTTACAGACGAGTAAAGCATATTAGAGGAAAATAGGAGGGTGAAATCAATGAAGCAAGATTCTGGGACTTCTCATTGTATAAGAACTTGATCAACAGTATCTCTTTAAATATTTCTACTAATGCAAAGAAACCTCAATAAAATTTTTTTTTTATTCTTTAAGATAAAACTTCGAAGATATAGGCAAACTGTGTTTGCCAACTCTTTGTATTGATATATAAATAATGCTTCTTAAAAATAAAAGTTTTAAAATAGAAAGTATTTAAATATAGACAAATCAGTGTAGGGAATACTATTTATCATTTAGTTTTAAATGTTTAAATAACTGCTTTCATTTCCCTAAATTCAGAGGCAACCATTTCAATGCCTTTCACTGACTAATTTAGTTTTTTATATCATCATATGAAATATATAAAATATGTCTATTTTAATTTTTTGAGGCATACACATGGAATTCCCACTATATAAGATAATGATGTGGCTTCCTTTTACTTTCCTTTTCTGTCACATTCCTCTGTCATCCTAATACATTGTAATTTTTGAAATCAGGTAGCCATTGCTTTTATTATAACCATGTAAATGCTGTCCACAGTTGAGCTATTTGGTAGTCTGTGATTTTTTTTTTTTTTTAATTTTTTATTGGGTTTTAGGTTTTGGGGTACATGAGCAGAGCATGCATGACAGTTGCGTAGGTACACACATGGCAGTGTGCTTTGCTTTTCTTCTCCCCTTCACCCACATTTGGCATTTCTCCCCAGGCTATCCCTCCCCACCTCCCCCTCCCACTGGCCCTCCCCTTTTCCCCCCAATAGACCCCAGTGTTTAGTACTCCCCTTTCTGTGTCCATGTGTTCTCATTTTTCATCACCCGCCTATGAGTGAGAATATGCGGTGTTTCATTTTCTGTTCTTGTGTCAGTTTGCTGAGAGTGATGTTCTCCAGATTCATCCATGTCCCTACAAACGACACAAACTCATCATTTCTGATTGCCGCATAATATTCCATGGTGTATATGTGCCACATTTTTCCAATCCAGTCTATTATCAATGGGCATTTGGGTTGATTCCAGGTCTTTGCTATTGTAAACAGTGCTGCAATGAACATTCGTGTACATGTGTCCTTATAGTAGAACGATTTATAGTCTTTTGGATATATACCCAGTAATGGGATTGCTGGGTCAAATGGAATTTCTATTTCTAAGGCCTTGAGGAATCGCCACACTGTCTTCCACAATGGTTGAACTAATTTACACTCCCACCAACAGTGTAAAAGTGTTCCTTTTTCTCCACATCCTCTCCAGCATCTCTTGTCTCCAGATTTTTTAATGATCGCCATTCTAACTGGCGTGAGATGGTATCTCAATGTGGTTTTGATTTGCATCTCTCTGATGACCAGTGACGATGAGCATTTTTTCATATGATTGTTGGCCTCATATATGTCTTCTTTCGTAAAGTATCTGTTCATATCCTTTGCCCACTTTTGAATGGGCTTGTTTGTTTTTTTCCTGTAAATCTGTTTGAGTTCTTTGTAAATTCTGGATATCAGCCCTATGTCAGATGGGTAGACTGCGAAAATTTTTTCCCATTCTGTTGGTTGCCGATCCACTCTAGTGACTGTTTCTTTTGCTGTGCAGAAGCTGTGGAGTTTCATTAGGTCCCATTTGTCTATTTTGGCTTTTGTTGCCCATGCTTTTGGTGTTTTGTTCATGAAGTCCTTGCCTACTCCTATGTCCTGGATAGTTTTGCCTAGATTTCCTTCTAGGGTTTTTATGGTGCCAGGTCTTATGTTTAAGTCTTTAATCCATCTGGAGTTAATTTTAGTGTAAGGTGTCAGGAAGGGGTCCAGTTTCTGCTTTCTGCACATGGCTAGCCAGTTTTCCCAACACCATTTGTTAAACATGGAATCCTTTCCCCATTGCTTGTTTTTGTCAGGTTTATCAAAGATTGTATAGTTGTATGTATGTTGTGTTGCCTCCGGTGCCTCTGTTCTGTTCCATTGGTCTATATCTCTGTTTTGGTACCAGTACCATGCTGTTTTGATTACTGTAGCCTTGTAGTATAGTTTGAAATCCGGTAGTGTGATGCCTCCCGCTGTGTTCTTTTTGCTTAGAATTGACTTGGCTATGCGGGCTCTCTTTTGGTTCCATATGAAGTTCATGGTGGTTTTTTCCAGTTCTGTGAAGAAAGTCAATGGTAGCTTGATGGGGATAGCGTTGATTCTGTAAATTACTTTGGGCAGTATAGCCATTTTCACGATATTAATTCTTCCTAACCATGAACATGGAATGTTTCTCCATCTGTTTGTGTCCTCTCTGATTTCATTGAGCAGTGGTTTGTAGTTCTCCTTGAAGAGGTCTCTTACGTTCCTTGTGAGTTGTATTCCAAGGTATTTTATTCTTTTTGTAGCAATTGCGAATGGCAGTTCGTTCTTGATTTGGCTTTCTTTAAGTCTGTTATTGGTGTAGATGAATGCTTGTGATTTTTGCACATTGATTTTATATCCTGAGACTTTGCTGAAGTTGCTTATCAGTTTCAGGAGTTTTTGGGCTGAGGCAATGGGGTCTTCTAGGTATACTATCATGTCGTCTGCAAATAGAGACAATTTGGCTTCCACCTTTCCTATTTGAATACCCCTTATTTCTTTTTCTTGCCTGATTGCTCTGGCTAGAACTTCCAGTACTATATTGAATAGGAGTGATGAAAGAGGGCATCCTTGTCTAGTGCCAGATTTCAAAGGGAATGCTTCCAGTTTTTGCCCATTCAGTATGATATTGGCTGTTGGTTTGTCATAAATAGCTTTTATTACTTTGAGATACGTTCCATCGATACCGAGTTTATTGAGGGTTTTTAGCATAAAGGGCTGTTGAATTTTGTCAAATGCCTTCTCTGCGTCAATTGAGATAATCATGTGGTTTTTGTTTTTGGTTCTGTTTATGTGGTGAATTACGTTGATAGACTTGCGTATGTTGAACCAGCCTTGCATCCCCGGGATGAATCCTACTTGATCATGATGAATAAGTTTTTTGATTTGCTGTTGCAATCGGCTTGCCAATATTTTATTGAAGATTTTTGTATCTATGTTCATCATGGATATTGGCCTGAAGTTTTCTTTTCTCGTTGGGTCTCTGCCGGGTTTTGGTATCAGAATGATGTTGGTTTCATAAAATGATTTGGGAAGGATTCCCTCTTTTTGGATTGTTTGAAATAGTTTTAGAAGGAATGGTACCAGCTCCTCCTTGTGTGTCTGGTAGAATTCGGCTGTGAACCCGTCTGGACCTGGGCTTTTTTTGTGTGGTAGGCTCTTAATTGCTCCCTCAACTTCTGACCTTGTTATTGGTCTATTCATAGTTTCAGCTTCCTCCTGGTTTAGGCTTAGGAGGACACAGGAGTCCAGGAATTTATCCATTTCTTCCAGGTTTACTAGTTTATGCGCATAGAGTTGTTTGTAATATTCTCTGATGATGGTCTGAATTTCTGTGGAATCTGTGGTGATTTCCCCTTTATCATTTTTTATTGCATCTATTTGGTTGTTCTCTCTTTTATTTTTAATCAATCTGGCTAGTGATCTGTCTATTTTGTTGATCTTTTCAAAAAACCAGCTCTTGGATTTATTGATTTTTTGAAGGGTGTTTCGTGTCTCAATCTCCTTCAGCTCAGTTCTGATCTTAGTTATTTCTTGTCTTCTGCTGGGTTTTGAGTTTTTTTGATCTTGCTCCTCTAGCTCTTTCAATTTTGACGATAGGGTGTCAATTTTGGATCTCTCCATTCTCTTCATATGGGCACTTATTGCTATATACTTTCCTCTAGAGACTGCTTTAAATGTGTCCCAGAGGTTCTGGCACGTTGTGTCTTCGTTCTCATTGGTTTCGAAGAACTTCTTTATTTCTGCCTTCATTTCATTGTTTACCCAGTCAACATTCAAGAGCCAGTTGTTCAGTTTCCATGAAGCTGTGCGGTTCTGGGTTGGTTTCTGAATTCTGAGTTCTAACTTGATTGCGCTATGGTCTGAGAGGCTGTTTGTAATGATTTCAGTTGTTTTGCATTTGTTGAGCAGTGCTTTACTTCCAATTATGTGGTCAATTTTAGAGTAGGTGTGATGTGGTGCTGAGAAGAATGTGTATTCTGTGGATTTGGGGTGGAGAGTTCTGTAAATGTCTATCAGGTTTGCTTGTTCCAGGTCTGAGTTCAAGCCCTGGATATCCTTGTTGATTTTCTGTCTGGTTGATCTGTCTAGTATTGACAGTGGAGTGTTAAAGTCCCCCACTATTATTGTGTGGGAGTCTAAGTCCTTTTGTAAGTCGTTAAGAACTTGCCTTATGTATCTGGGTGCTCCTGCATTGGGTCCATATATGTTTAGGATCGTTAGCTCTTCTTGTTGTATCGATCCTTTTACCATTATGTAATGGCCTTCTTTGTCTCTTTTGATCTTTGTTGCTTTAAAGTCTATTTTATCAGAGATGAGAATTGCAACTCCTGCTTTTTTTTGCTTTCCGTTTGCTTGGTAAATCTTCCTCCATCCCTTTATTTTGAGCCTTTGTGTATCCTTGCATGTGAGATGGGTTTCCTGTATACAGCACACTGATGGGTTTTGGATGTTTATCCAATTTGCCAGTCTGTGTCTTTTGATTGGTGCATTTAGTCCATTTACATTTAGGGTTAATATTGTTATGTGTGAATTTGATACTGCCATTTTGATGCTAAGTGGCTGTTTTGCCTGTTAGTTGTTGTAGATTCTTCGTTATGTTGATGCTCTTTAGCATTCAGTGTGATTTTGGAATGGCTGGTACTGGTTGATCCTTTCTATGTGTAGTGCCTCTTTTAGGAGCTCTTGTAAAGCAGGCCTGGTGGTGACAAAATCTCTGAGTACTTGCTTGTTGGCAAAGGATTTTATTTTTCCTTCACTTCTGAAGCTCAGTTTGGCTGGATATGAAATTCTGGGTTGAAAGTTCTTTTCTTTAAGAATGTTGAATATTGGCCCCCACTCTCTTCTGGCTTGTAGTGTTTCTGCCGAGAGATCTGCTGGGAGTCTGATGGGCTTCCCTTTGTGGGTGACCCGACCTTTCTCTCTGGCTGCCCATAGTATTCTCTCCTT